GGGACGGCCACAGCTGTTAGCCCTCGCTGCCTTCGCGGGATCCCTTCGTCTCATCCGGCCACAGGTACCCTTCCCCTTCATCATCTTGAACCCCATACAAACCCGCCGGAAGAATCAGTATTGACTGTTTATAAAATTAAGGTCCCTGGGTAGACACAGAAACAAACCTCGCCCTAATTTTAGTTGCGCCTTTCTCTTTCATCGACTGCATATACGTAATCGTCAGCAATTCCAATGGTAACAAATCCCTGCCATGCACAAATTCTATCTGTAATAGTCTTCATGCAAATGGAAGGTCATAGGTAACATCCTCACCACCTGTTTCGTCTCTCAAACGGTTCGTCTCAATAGTGCGCAGAATTCACATTCGTTTTCACTATTGCAATCCCAACTAACCCAGCCTTATTTTTTTCATTATCTCTGCGTGAAAATATTGTTTCTGACGGTCACGGGTGTCAGCCAATTCGAACATTTCCTTGGGACTATTGTCTTCAAAGGTTCACAGGAACGCAACCTGTTAACCAAATGGATACCAACGAGCCTTGCATATACGTTTAACGCTCTGCTGCTAATAATATTCAGGCATCAGTTGGCCTGAGATATCAGACTTACTGGCCTTTCGCCTGCACTTATTTCTTTGTACGCCCGCTCTACAACATTGACATATCTTCATATTCTATGCTGTATTATTATTCCACCATTGAACCGATATATGCTACATAACCTAAGCCTCCTTTGCTTGCCACACTGCTCCTCTAAATTCCAAGGTCCCCGGTATCATTCGAATCGCCAACGAAACCTGAAATAATTTCATTCGCTCTGCTATAATATTATGCCACCTGCGACTTGCCATAGGATACCACCCACCACCACCTTAGTCTTCACTCATGGCTATTATAGGTTACACGGATCAACTCTGCCTCAATCGAATTTAAAGCTAACCTTGACATCTGCTCATTGCAAGGCGACTAAGTACCGCCTCACTACCTTCCCTTTCACTCATTTTTTCCATAGACCCACGTGTTTCCAACCCATCACCAATTCGATTTCGAACGAAAAGTAGACCCAAGCATAATTGTTTTTGATTCGGGAACGTGTTTTTTTTAAGTTTTAAACATCTTTATACGGTGGATGCTTCTTGAACGGCAAGGCGACTGCCGAGTAACATTTTTATTATGAAGGAAGCTTCTTCAGTACATGTCGAGGCTCACTGTCGACGTGAACATCAATTTAAAAAAGGTTCCGTAGATTCATGTTTCGTGCTTTATTATTGCGCTGTCCGTAACTCGTGAGAGCGTCTACTTACGGGATTTTTTTTGTTTTCAAGATCATTATTTCACCAAAATGTCTATTCTTCTTCACCGTCGAGATGTGATGAATCTTCCCAAGACAATCATTGACAAAACGGTTTATTTTTACAGAATGTGTGCTGCCTCGAGGTTCTTCGCATGCTTTCATCAACGGGAGGCTTTGTGACTCCGCAAGAGCGACCTCCGAGGCAACTTCCTGTCCTGCTGCTGAGCGCATTCGGGATTGGTGATTGTGAGTGCCTCACCGGACCTCATGGGCTTTCCTGGCCGTCCTTGGGGGAAACCCGACAGATTCAGACGCCTCGAAGAAGCTGTCAGCCAGAGTCACCAAAGTCTGCTCACACCCCACGTATACTATCAGGAAAAGACGTCGACAAAAAGCGACGTGTTGTGGAAACTGTTTTGAAAAGTTAAATGTAATTTTGTTTATTGTCGCATATAGTGTCTGCATCAGATATCTCTGTACTTAAGATGCCTTGAATTTGTGAGCATGTGCACCTAGGGATGGGGGCAGATGTTACTCTTCGTAGGCTAGCGACAGAAAGTCTTCAGAACAAATGTTTTTTGCCCAGTGCGAATAGGGATCTAATTTGCGCCGTTCGCAAGTTTTACTTCGCTATGTCTACGTTATGCATACCGAACCCTCGGCTTCAGAGGGCGGCCCAAGTTGTAACGAAGGGGGACGATTACCTTTTCAGAGAACCCCGATTCGATTCTTACTTTCCTGTGCGGTTTTTTTTTCTGCCTCTTGCTTGCGGTGCACTGAAACGGGACGGGGGATGGAGCGCAAGGGCTTGAGGATGCAAAACGCAGTTTGAAACTCTATTTGGTGCTTGAAATTCAAACACATTTGAAATAAGACCTAAACTATATACAAAGGAAAACTATTGTTACATCTCTACACATTAACCTAGTTTCCCTGCTCGGCGACTGCTGACCCCAGCGGCGTTGTGAGCTGTGCACGCGTAAGCTCCGCGGCTCGAACCATAAGATTCGTACATATCGAGAGACGCCGCGTCGTGGCTGAGAGGGCCGACGTTACGCCTGAACATGTCGCAGGCTTCCTCACTGCCCTGAGTCACTGGCCTGGAGTCACTTGCCCTCAGCTCACGG